AAGGTTTATTACAGTTTCTTTGAAGGACAGATTGCTGCAGTTTGTCTGGGATTGCCTGGAAAAAAAGACAGTTTTATTTAAAACATACACATGTGCACACACACACACAAAGCCAATGGGAAGCACTGTGGTACCTACAAACTCATACAACCATCATGCATCATGAACCAATCCAACAGGCACCTGAAGTTAATCCTAATATCTCCTTGATGGTAATTCAGTGCTTAAGTTATACTAATTGTAAAAATAGACAGACAAAGCCTAGTGTCACACTTGTAAAAAAATATTTACAGTCTTTTCCCCCTATACAGGTTCTTTAGTTAATTTTTCCCAACAATATTTACTTATGCCTTCTAATGAATACCTCTAGACATGTATGTAATATGGAAAAGCTTGAGCTCACTGAAAGATTAACTATAGTTCTTGATTTCTCAGCATAATATATGTCCCTAAGCATCTAGCAACTGAGGGCATGACTCAGGTACCACCGCAGGGCACAAAAGACCTCTCCCACTCCAAGAGTAACTTGTGGGTCAAGGCCACATTGAGGAGAGGAGGAGCTGGATGAGTATATGGAAAGAGTTCCCTGAGCTCCCATTAAAAGTAATGGCTGCCTTCACGTCCTTGAGAGCCAGACTGGGAGGGTGTGGGAAGGATAAGTGCTTCATGCACACAGTCCTTTCTCACGCAGACAGATTGCACCATGCCATTTCAGGGATGTGACGATCCCCCTGATTTATTAGTGATTCTGATCTAAGTATTTCATGTCAAACCTTAACCCTAACAAATCCATTATTTTTTCAAAACAATTTTGAATTAATCTGAGTCCGGTATATCAAAAGGCAGAACATACCTGGTGAATTATATGTTACAGAAATATGCTGGAAACTAGACATTTCTTCACAAATTCCAGTGGGATCTGCAGGATCACCATCTGGCCTTCTGCTTCTTGAATTGGACCTTGGCTTATGGAGTTCATTGAATAAAGCGGTGACGTGGTCTCTTAGGCAACCATTATTCCTATGGAGACGATTCACTTCAAACTGCAGTACATCTCTTTCATTCTCCATTGAACGCATTTTATTGTCCATCAGCAAGAGTTCCTCACTCAGTTTTCTTATTCTAGCTTTGTACTCTGCAACTTCCAGTTTGTATTCATGCAGTTCCTTTTTAAGACCCCTGTTGTCTTCTGTCAGGCCTCCTACCAGTGCTGACAGCCTCTCACATTCTCCTTTCATGTTGGACAGGTTGGTTTCTAAAACTCCGGTTTCTATTCTTGTGTTTTTACATTCATTCAGAAGTTTTTCCTCAGCATTTGCTCTCTCTCTCTGGGCTTCCTCAAGCTCCTTCTGGAGGATCTTTCTTAAATCAGTTGACTCCTGCACAATCTTCTCAAGTTCTAACTTTTCCTCGTGAAGTGACTGTGTCATCCTAAGAGCAGCTTCCATATTGGACTGCTTGGTCTTTTCATTTTCTTTTAGTTGCTGTATTTCCTTCTGTTTTTTTTCAAGTTCATTTTCAAGCTGACTTGCTTTTTCTTCTAACACTTTACACTCTTCTTGAAGTGGTGTAATTTGACTCTCCAAAGTTCCCAAGGCTACAAGAAGATCGCCCTTTTCTTGCGTGAGAGCTGCCAGACTTTCATGGGCTTCCTGGTCCTTCTTCTGAAAATCATCCAAGTTCTGCATTATACTTTGGTTTTGAGCATAAAGCTGATTCTGTTTTTCCTCCAGAGTTATCTTTTGCTGTTCAGATTCCTTGCATTTCTTCAGTAACCTTTTAACTTCTTTAATGCATTCCTTGCAGTCTCTGTCTGATTTCACTAGCCTCTCTTGAATGTTGCTTTTTTCATCGTTTAAATCTTTAATTTGCATCTGGTATTTTGAGTTTTGCTCGGTCAGAGACTGTATAATGCCAGTCAGAGTCTTTATTTGTTTCTTGAGATCTAGGTTTTCACTCTGAAGATCCACCGCTTTTTTTGTTAAGGGTTCAGGCTCTTTTGGAGACATTTCTAGCAATCCACTTTTTTTATAGTAGCTGTCGGATCCAGCATCGATACCACAGGATTCCAGAACTTTCTCTTTTTGAAACTCTTGTTTTGTGTCCAGCAGCTGCAGGTGGTTGTCCTTTTCCCTTTCCACTGTGTGTTCCAGAATAAAATATTTATCTTCTCCAGTTTTGGGCAAGAAATTTACTTGCAACTTCTCAAACATGTTACCTTTAGCAAATAATTCTTTGTTCTGTTTCTTGCTCTCAGTATGTGTTTGTACTGCTGTCTGATTGTTTTCTTTTAAAGAAACCATGGCAATATGCAGGCCATCTACTGAATCCTCCAATTTGGAAGTCCTCTTGGATTTAAAATACTCCTTTGACATACCAATTGCTTTTCCTGTTGGATCCTGTTCTGATAGGTAACCAGAATCATTGCCTTTACCGTACAAAATAGTGGAAGTATTCTGAACTTCAAAGGTATATGGGAGTTCATGCCTAGGAGTCTTTCTATTGCCCGCTTTCATGTCCCTGAAGGAAGAACTCATACTCTCTAGCACATGCCCATTCTTGCCTGTGTGGAAGGCCATGGACTCTTTAAATCCAGCATAGTTTTTAATCTCACTAAGGGCAGTACTTGCTTCTGTTTTGAAACCAACCCAAGGTGGAGAAGAAATGTTGCTGGCAGGATTCTTCAAATTGTGGTCATTTTTAAATGCCAGAATAGCTTTCTCTCTAGGTGTTTGGTCAGGGGCTTGAGCTTTTCCAGCTGACTGACATTTTGACAGAATGTGATGTGGAACACTTCCATCTGTGACTGGGTCTCCAAAGATTTTGTTGGGATAGGTTTCTGGACACTGCATGAACCTTTTATCAAGATGAAGTTGGTTCTTTAAAAGTGATGCTTCTTGACACTGTCTAGGCTGAGAGAGAGAGAGAGAGAGAGAACAATCCTGTTGAAATTTTCACTATTTAATACATAGAATGAGGCATAACACAGCACCGTAGATTTGTTGCATAGGCTGTGTACTTCGAAAATCTGGTATAGATTTTATGTCCCAGCAGCAGTTTAATGTAAAACATAGAAGAAAAAATGGAGGTGGCAGTGAAGAGTCCTTAAGCAGGGAATGTGGTTACTTATTTTATTATTATTTCAATTTTCTTATCTTAGCAGTCTTACGCCCTTCTAAGTTGATTGACTCCAGTGGACTCAGAAGGTTATCACCATGCTTAGAACTGCATTTCTCAGATTTTCAGTTTTCCCTTGAAAACATTAATGAGCACACACACACCCCCCAGTTTTCTGAGTATATATATTTTCCATCTAGAAAAGAAAACTAAAGCAATAAAAGTTTAGATACATCTGTGTTTGGATAACCATTGCTCGGGGGGGGGACCTATATTAATTTCAACTTTGTTCAAAGGATAAAAAGGAGTAAACACTTTAAGAGGAAAGAGTCTGAATTCCATGAAGCTGTAGGGTAGGTTTAGGTCAGTATGAAGCCAAATTTGGGATGGTGTATTGGATCCTCAAATGAATGAAAAACACTTTTTGAAGAAGAAAAAACTAGAGTAACTAGCTGAAATCTGTCCTCCTCCTAAAGAGCCCTGCTTAAACGGTCCTCTGAAGCATTCAAAATATTAGTTTGATTTGTTTAATATAGATGGGAGGATATGCAGGAACATATCCTTAGCAGAACTAATTGAGCAGATCGTTTTCTTACAAGGCAGGTTCATTTGTTAGACTGCAGATCTGAAAGACCCTGTGATTCTTCTACTACAGGCATGGAGTGCTTCATCTTTAACTATATTGTTATAAATTATTCCAGTAATATGGGCAATCTGAGGAAAAAGCACAGATGTCCTCAGCTGTTTATCAGAGATTTCAGTGCCCTACACATTTTGAACCAGTACTTTTCCTCAGGGACAGAACAAAATCTGGGGGAAAAAGCTTTCATCAATCAATGTGTGGGTAGTTAAAATCACCTATTACGACACAGTTATTTCGTCTAGTTGCTATCTTTAATTCATTCATCCTTTTATAATCCTCTATCTTTTGATCTGGTGGGCGATAACAAACTCCCAGTAGCATTTCCAGAAGTGAATCCAATTCTCTTACTATATACCCTCTCTGACATACAGAGCCACCCCACCTCCAACCCTTCCCCCCATCCTTCCAATATAATTTATAACCAGGAATCACCGTATCCCACTGATTTTCCTCATTCCACCAAGTTTCTGAAATACCCACAATGTCTATCCCCCCCCCGACACCAAGCATTCCAATTCCCCAATTTTACGTTGGACACTTCTAGCATTTGTGTATAAACACCTATAATTTCCTATGCATATTAAGCCCACAACCTTCCTCTTGCTGCCTCGAGACTGTTGTACAAATTTCAATCCCAGTCAAGTTCCTTGTAGAAAAGTAACAGCAACTTGAACCCTTCCCCCCTACACCATCGTCTCATCCACGCATTGATACCCCTGATCTGTGCCTGTCTCTCCGGCCCTGCGCATGGAACAGGTAGCACTTCTGAGGCGGCTACCTTGGAGGTCCTGGCCTTGAGTTTCCTGCCTAGCAGCCTAAATTTATCCTCCAGGACCTCACGACTGCATTTCCCCACATCGTTGGTGCCAACATGTACCATGACCACTGGCTCCTCCCCAGCACTATCTACCAGTCTATCTAGAACACACGTAATGTCCGCTACCTTCGCACCAGGCCAATGATCCTTTCACACCCTATCTCAAGCATCCAGGACTCTGCAACAACTCACAACTCACCCACACACTCCCAAACACAGTCCCCCCACACAGTACCCTCTCAGCTAAATCACCTCAGCTGAAAGTAAATAAAAAATACCCCTCTAGCAGCTCAGAGCTCAGCTGGGTCAGCTTTCCCCCTTATTTTTCTAAAGTTCCCTCTTTTGAAATCAAATGTTACTGTTTTGGACTTAAGGGGTAACTTTCCATTGACCTGAATGCTGAACTTAATAGCATTGTGGACACTGTTCCCAACTGGTGTAACAACCTCTAATTCTCTTTAGGATTGCACTGGTAATTCCCAGCAACACCACACACAACTGCTGAAAATGCACTTTCACATACATACCTCTCATTTGAAGGTAAAAAGAAAACAACATACCATAGCAACACGGATAGGTGTGCTGGTCAAAAGTAAAGGGTCTGGATTAAATTCACGATGTTTCACATCAGCAATATTTTTATTAAGTATCTCGCTGATTTCAGACTGAACCTGTAGAAACATGCAATAAGATGGTTATCCTCCTCCCTTACTCTTTTTCATTGATTAGATTGTAACCTGTTTTAGCAAGTAATTGTTTATACAACACTTGGTAGAATTTCAAGAGTTCAATTTTTTAAATAGCTAATGTACTCGTGGATAAGCAGTCATATTAAAGTAAAGAGTGGATAGGTTAACTTAATTTAATTAATGGGGTTAGGATTGGGATGCATAAACGGATTGGGTTATGGATTATTACTGTGCTATTGATTGTTATTCCCCAATTAATTATTGACTAATTTGACATATGAATTATTTATATTGAATGCCTTATAGTGAAGTTTGATTGCTTAATTAGTTTTCTATTTAAACTTACAAATTAATTAATAGGAAGTTATCTGGGGCTTAAAATAAAACTGCCATAGACCAGTTCAGCCATTAGTTATAGTGACTACTGCCGAGCCAAGGGGGTGATAGGGTGTGGGGGGGTAAGGGAACAAAGAGGAAATGAAATAAGTAAATAAATCAGCTTCATAGGCTACTGGATTTAATTAGGAGGGTGTCCAATAAAATTGATAGTGACAGTGTAGGTTGCGTCAAATTTGTATTTAATTTAGGAATGTAATGACTAAGTGTCACTGTTATTGTGTTGCGCATGCTGGTACCCAATCATTAACAGCTATAAAATGGTCTGTGGTTTCGCAAAGACCATCAAAATGGTGATGATGGGTCAGGGTTTACCAGTGCTCTTGGGGCAGGGAAAGTATTGTGGTGGGGCCAGGCAGAAAATGAAGGAAGGGGGCAGAGAAACAGAGAAGCTCAGCCATCTTCAAGTCTGCACCCCATCCCAAAGATGACGGTCAGTGGGGCTAGGAGGAATGACCCCTCTCAGACACTGGCATTGTGCAATGCCAGGTCCATAAACAGGACTTTCTCCTGGAACAAAATGCTGACCTGGCCTGTATGACGGAGACCTAGGTATGAGATGGGGAGACAGTAGCACTCTCCCAATTGGCTCCACCTGGGTTCTCCGCCCTCCACCAGTCAAGGACCAAGGGGCGAGGGCGAGGAGTGGCACTGTTCATACGGGAGGCTTACTTCTTCAGGGCGCTCCCGCCATTGAGGCTCACAGGCATAGAGTGTGCTGGCTTTGTGTGGGAAGCTGGGAAGAGTTTGGCCATCTGGTAGTGTACCGACCGCCCAACGCACCAGCCGATGGCCTGTCATCCCTGGTTGAGGCCGTGTCTGGCTGGGCATTGGAGTACCCCAGACTGATAGTCTTGGGTGACTTCAATGTCCATGCCGATGATGCGGCCTCTCCAATGGTGGTGGACCTAGTGTCGTCCATGGCAGCACTGGGACTCTCCCAATATGTAACAGCCCCCACTCACAGAGCTGGTCACACGCTTGATTTGATCTTCGTGGCGGGGGTTACAGTGGACCGGATTACTGCTATGGCAGTTCCATGGTCGGACCACCATGCCCCGAAGGCCCATGTGAACGTGGCACCCTGACCCTGTTTGGGCCGTGAGCATATTTTAGCTCGCCCGCAGAACCAAATGGACCCACAGCGGCTTCAGATGGCCCTACAGGATCCTATGCCCCCTGGTGGCTCATTAGATGAGCTAGTTGAGGACTGGCATGGCCGACTCTCAACTGCCATCGATGAGATCGCCCCCCGACGCCGTCTGCGCCCTCACTCTAAGCAGGCTCCATGGTTTACTGAGGAGCTGTGGCTGATGAAATGAGGGCTCAGACAACTAGAGAGATGGTGGCGGTGCCCTCGTGACGAAGCAACAAGAGCATCCTATAGGACATTTATGAGATCCTATGAGATGGCAATCAAAGCCACGAAGAGGGAGTTCTACTACAATTGTGTCTGCTAGCTCATGCCCGGCACAATTGTTTAGAACTATTCAGTTATTAACAGAGCTGCCTCAGGGCAGACCAAATGCTAGGGAATTGGATATTGGCTGTGAGGCTTTTGCGAGCTACTTTGCAGATAAAGTCTTGCTGCTCTGCCGCGATCTCCCTGCCACAGTTGAGACAGAGAGTGAACTCGAGGCCCCATGCACATCTTCTAGTTCTATTCTGGATTATTTCAGTCTGCTCAGCCTTGAGGAAGTCGACAGATTGCTCGCAACGGTATGCCCAACCATTTGCAGCCTTGACCCATGCCCTTCATGGCTTATAAAAGCTGGCCGTGAGGGGTTGCAAAGTGCCCTCAACAGTGTCCTTCATGGAGGGACTGTTCCCAGGGGCACTCAAGGAAGCCTCTCCTGAAAAAAAATCTTTGGACCTGGCCGAATTGGCCAACTACCAGCCGGTTTCCAATTTGCCCTATTTGGGCAAATTACTGGTGAGAGCGGTGGCGGTTCAGTTGCAGAGCTTTATGGATGACACTTCCATGCTAGACCCATTCCAGTCCAGCTTTCAGCCAGGCCATGGGATGGAGACGGCACTGGTTGCCCTCACAGATGACCTCCGGAGGCATCTGGATCAAGGCAGCATGGCAGCACTGTTGCTGTTGGACCTGTCAGCGGCATTCGACACGGTTGACCATCAGTTGCTGATCCACTGCCTCATCAACACTGGGATTCAGGGGCTTGCCTTACAATAGCTCGTCTCCTTTCTCCAAGGTTGGGGACAGAGGGTGGCAGTAGGGGAACAGACGTCCCAGAGGTATCTGCTGGTTTGTGGGGTTCCTCAAGGGGCAGTATTATCCCCGATGTTATTTAATATCTACATGCGTCCCCTTGCCTAGATTGCCCGGAGGCACAGGCTAGGGTGTCACCAAGACACAGACGACACCCAGCTATAATCTGTTGCTGGGCGGCGAGTCCAACTCTACCCCAGATGACCTGGAGCGGGCACTTCAGGACGTGGTGGGCTGGCTTAGGCTGAGCCGATTGAAATTGAATCCAACGAAGATGGAGGTCCTGTGCCCGAGTCGGAGCGGTCCAGGGGTAGGGATCCCACTACCAACACTCAATGGGGCACCATTGGTGCCAGCGCTGAGGGTCAGGAGTCTGGGAGTGCTCCTGGATGCCACCTTAACAATGGAGGCCCAGGTAGCAGCCACTGCCAAGTCAGCCTTTTACCATCTATGGCTGATCAGGCAGTTGGTTCCCTTCCTCGAACGCAATGACCTGACAACAGTGATCCATGCTATGGTCACCTCAAGGTTAGACTACTACAATGCTCTCTACATGGGGCTGCTCTTGTCCCAAATCCAGAAGCTGCAGCTAGTGCAAAATGCAGCAGCCAGGCTGTTGATGGGTCACATCCAGCCTGTGCTGAAGGCATTGCACTGGCTAACAATAGCATACCGGATTCGTTTCAAGGTGCTGGTTTTGACCTTTAAAGCCCTATATGGTCAGGGACCTGCCTACCTGAGGGACCGCCTTTCCCCATATGTGCCCCAGAGAGCACTGAGGTTGGAGACCCAACATTGCCTGACTGTCCCTGGCATGAAAGATGCCAGATTGGCCTCTACGAGGGCTAGGGCGTTTTCAGTGGCGGCTCCACACCGGTGGAATGAGGTCTCGGAGGACATCAGGGCCCTGTGGGACCTTCTACAGTTTTGCAGGGCCTGTAAAACGGAGCTCTTCCACCAGGCCTTCAGTTAGGAGCCGCCACTGATGAATGAACCATCGTAGATTGAGCAAAAGAACCATCATAAATTGAATAGGCCATGGCCCCATATTACTACACTGGACATGGCCTTTTCTTATCGGACCATGTATCTGTATATCGCCGCCATCTGTATATATTAGCACCTTACGTAATTGTCTTTTAATTGTGAATTTTTACTGTATTTATTGGTTCTATTGCATTTTAACTGTGTAAGCCACCTTGAGCCAGTGCTGCACCAGCAAGGCGGGACATAAATTGAAATTAATAAATAAATAATATTCTTCCTGTCTACACAAAAAATATTTACTCCATGGAAGAGAAATCCTTAACAGTAAACCTTGAGAAAACATTTGTTCACTGAGGATTTTCTCGATACCTGTCTCTGGAAGGGGAACAGCTATATAACCACATGTGGTAGGAGTAGGAGTTCTTGGAAATAGAAAGAGAGGGTCATCTGAAATTTTAAATATCCTGTCTTGCCACTTCCTGTTGAACCTGGGTTACAGTCATCTAATTTTTTTGGTGTCTTGCATGATATATGGAACCTTCATTACTGCCTATCAACAGGGAATCAGTTGCTTTTTAATAGTTTGGTATTCAGAACCCAGAACCTTCTGCAAAGTTCTTTGCAATTCTGTTTGAGTTTTTTGGAGTACTAAAAGAGCTAACCATTTTTAACCACTCCTCCCTTCTCGCCCCCACGAAGAGACTGCATCTTGCTCTGTCTTTGTGTCTGCTATCATGAAGCAGGAGATCACTGCAGGTGCTCATTGCAAGAGGTTCTGAGGACACGAAAATACTTTTGAGAGGATGGGACGTGAAGAGACATGGGAGTGGGCTTTCCGAAGGCTAGCTGTGTGTGCATCTGCCTTTGCCTACTGTTCTCCCTCTGCCTGCCTGCTTGGGAGGGCTCTGTCACGTTACTCTAATGGCTCATGAACTGGGAACTTTCCATCTATGAAATCCAGCAGGGAGGATTGGTTGGGAAAGGAGTATCCTTGATGATTTCATCCAAAACAAAGTTGTGACAAACTGGAAATATGTTTTCCATTGAAATAGATAGAAATGAAAAGGAATTGAATAACAACACCCCCACACACACAACGCCCTGAATAACAAATATAACACAAAAAACCTTTTGAAACAACAAAATACCAGCATACCTCTACCGGTGAGAAGATGGAAGTTCTGTGTTTTGCATGTTTTGGTCTCAACCTCCCTTCACTGAAGGCTGGGGTCAGGAAAGCGGACACTGAAATGTGAGCATGAAAGAAGCCGCCATCCTTTCAGTGGCATGGTCTGGATTTTATTTCCCTGCCCCACTATTCCAAGGAGTGTGAAGAGCAGCAGGGACAGATAGGAAGAGCAATGACATCGAGATCTGCCAGCAAGACACTTGGGAGACAAAGGAATGGGTGGCCTGTGGGTAACACTAGTTGCCAATCAGGATTTTATGTACATTTTTGACTCTGTCTGTCTTAGGGTATCTGATGAAGTGTACATGCACACGAAAGTTTATACCCAGAATTAAACTTCGTTGGTCTTAAAGGTGCCACTGGACTCAAACTTTGTCTTAGGATGAGTTACTGAGGCCCTTTGTTAAAGAGAAGACCTGTGATTCCCCCACCCCACCCCATGTTTGTGTGACCTTATAGAGGTGGCCTGTGTAATGAGAGAAAAATACAATCAAGGCTTACTTTTCGGGGGGGGGGGGGGGAATCCATAGGAATAAACATGTCTCAGAAGAGGTCAGCATATAAACATTACAGGGATTTCCCAGCTGGTATTGAGACCAGTGTTCCCTCTAAGCTGAGTTAGTGTGAGCTAACTCACAGTTTTTTAGCCTCTGGCTCACACATTTTTGTCTTGGCTCAGGAAGAATGGCTCTACAACAAGCTAATTTATGCAGTAGCCAAATCCCTTGCTCACAACTTTAACGCCAGTAGCTCACAAAGTAGAATTTTTGCTCACAAGACTCCACAGCTTAGAGGCAGTATTGATTGAGATTTCTATTTACTTTAAGGTTTCAATAAACTTTGGATTAAAAAATACATTCTCCACTAAAACATGACCCAAAATTACCCCTTTATTTTTACAAATATTTAGAATTTGCTCTTACCATGCTTACACTCTGCAAAGTCTGTTGTCGAAGGGCTTGAAATGATTCCATCTGAAGTTGTAGGATCTACATTATGTACATAGTTAAGTGAAAAGCTAGAAATCTTCAGTGTGCTGTAAAATTTTCACAGTATGAATCCAAAGAGTTATACCCTTCTAAGCCCATTGAAGGCAATGGACTTTGAAGGGTATAATTCTGCTCAGGACTGCACTGTCAAGTTTCTTATATCTAAACGTGCATCCCAACTGCTGTTTGTTAGTGTTACGGGGCTCCTTAGATTCACGGAAGTTCCCAAAGAACTGACAAGAGATCCGTGTTTACTTACAAGGAGATCTTTAATAACCCATCAAAGTTATCAAAGCAGATGTAGGCTAAGCTTCAATCAGCTGGCCTCAAGACGAGCACACGTGCACATTGAAGCTTACCCAAACCTCGAGACAAGAGCATAACTAAAACGACATGTCTTATACTCTAAATGCTGGCTGCAAGCCCAAAGAATGATTAATTAAGCCTATCCCAAACACTTGGATGAGCCAGGCCATCTTGCACCTGGATTCCAGTGTGTGTGGGGGAACAACCCAGGCCTTGAAGATAAGCACTACTAACAAGCATGAGAGTGGGAAAGTTCTCCTGAGAACAGCTAATACTGTCCTAATACTCAGAGCAAGTAGATACCACCAGCATATAGCAAAGATGAAGTCACTCAGGCCAATCCAGTTAGGACATCTATCTATTACATTCTTAGCATGGTTTTCCTGCAAGGAGCTCAGGGTGTCATACGGAGTTTTCTTCTCCTCCATTTTATCCTCAGTATGCTTCGTGTTATTGTGGCCCTGATCTGCTGATTTAGATATGCAAATGAAGGCCATGCTTGAGAAATAGATATATAGATCTATGGAAACGTGACATATCTGCTCCATCCTATGCATGGCACGTACATGATTCTAAACTACATGCACTGCGCTGCTGCCAATAAACAGACTGGCATACATTGGGAGCTGGTGATTCAAATGTCCTGCTAGAAGAACGTGATGGCTTAGACCTGCCTTCTCTTTTTATTCTAATGGAGTGTCAGATGGTTCAGTATATTTTGACTTTTCTTTAAAGAAAAGAATCACCATCACCTGAGGTATATTCTAACATTCCTTAGCCAAATGTTAAAAAGAAGCAAATATTCTCAGCCATTTGCCTGATATGGACTAAAGCTAGTGAGAGAGAGAACTGGTTTCCCCCCCAACCCCAAGATATGAAGGCACCTTGTCAGTCTCACCACTGTGTACGGTGCACACACTCAGTATTTTCTATCCCACAGATTGTATGTGGCTAAATAAGGGTTTCTAGATTTATACAGTACTTCAAAAGCTTCCAGAATCTACTTGGCCAGAGACAATACTTGGATAAAAGAAATTGTGTCTACACAAAGGTTAACAAAGATTCTGCCCTGCTACTTTTAATTCTCTTTCCCCATCTTAAAAAAATGCTGTGTCTCCAGCCTTAGATCTTGTGTCCTGTATCCTGAAACTTATCAGCGCAAACACTATTTATTTCAGTGGAGACTGAATGGAGGAAGACATGGTAAATCTGACTGCCCCATTACAAAGATAAGAACTTTTGACCCAGCTTAATCAACCAAAGCAATATAAATCAGTAGGTGAAGTTTTTCATCACATGGAGATAAAGGTTAATCTACATAAATCAGTAGGTGAAGCTTTTAATCAAATCGAGACAGGTTATATCACCTGCTGATGTCTGCAAAGCTGTTGTTAGACTGACAGGAGTTGGTAACAAAAAATGCCTAAAAACATATCATGTAAGAAGAGGGTAATATCCACAAGAACTTTGGTAAAGTTCAAATATGAACAAAGCCATAACCTTCCTCTTTGCCACCCATTATTCAAGTATAATCACAAACACATCACCTAATTATCCAAAATAGTAAACTTACTTTTAATGCTGACTGGGCTTGGCCTTGACCATCTCTTCTTGAAGCAGATTTATCTGGAAAATTAATCCAACAAACTCTGCAGATATAACGTCTATACACCTTGTGACTTTGTCAATAGAAATAACAAGTATACATTACTTAATGAAGGTTCTGTTGCTACCACAGTTAATGCCTGGGATGCTACACATCTTTATTGCTTTCCCTGCTTCTGGTGGTTTCTGATGGTACCAGTTTTTCCATTCTTTTGGACAGTCAGCTGTCCAGCAGACACTGATGGACCAGCTGAGGCCCAGAATCCCTCAGTGTTTGAACTGCCAATTGACTGAAAGCTTTGGGTGCTTGTGCTACCAATGAGAGCTAGTAAAGGGGAAAAGGGGACAGCAGAAAAGGGGAAAAGACAAGGAGAAGAAAAAGAGGAGAGGGACAGACAACTAAGAAACAGAAGTGCCAAGCAGAAGTGTAGAAAGAAGAGAAGAAAAAGAGGGGGACAAGAGATGGAGGTACACTCTTGTGGTGCAGGAAGGCGGGTGGAGACTATGAAGTATAGAAAGGTGGAAGGGCTGATGGAGCAGGCAAGGTGTCTGAAAAATATATGTTGCTACAGAGAGTGGACTGGGTCTTAAAAGGGTAACACAGGCCCCGGGCACACGGGCCAGATATCGCGAGGGGGAGGGGTGGCTAATGGCCCCGGCGCAGTTTGATCCACGATTACACGGTCAGACGCGCCACTGGCACAGCATGGGTCCTTCCCTCGGCGCCAGTGGGTAAACGAGGGACCGGAGGGGAATGCCGCGCGCCAGTGTGATCACACCACGGGCGTCTGGAGGCAGCCTGTGGCAAACATTTACTAGTACCTTGGAGGTACTAGTTTTTAAATCCACATTGTCGGCGGTAAGCCACGGGTGCACTCCACTTCCCAGATGTTGGGGTGTGATCGCGCCCGGATAATCCGCCCACCTTCTGTGCCTCTCCTGCGGCAACTTTGCCGTGTGACCGGGGCCACAAATGCCTTTTCATAGAGGTGCAGCATTGCTGAGTAAATACAAATACAAATGTATCTCTGCACTATTTCAGTTTCACACCCAGGCACTATCGGATAGTCACTTGCTCTTTGCTATACAAAGCTGGATTTATGCAGAGGCTAAGCAAACTACAGTTTAGGATCTGAGATTGTGAGGGGTCTCTAAATACAAATAAATTACTAAATGTGGTTACAGGCCCAGCTTTGCTGAGCCTAGATGGTGTTGGAGTGCTCCTGATAGCCTGGCCAGAAGAAAACAGGGTGGAAGGGGAACCAGAACACTGGCAAGAGGGCAAGGGCCCACCTGGCCAGCCACACTGGTAAAAAGTGGCCAGGCACCAGAGGAAGGGGAGGAGAGGCAGAGAAGGCAATACAGGGGCGGCAGATGGGAGCTGAAGACAGCACTGGGGTTGAGGAAGGGGCTGGGCTGATTGGGCATGACATGACCAGCCAGATGACTGAGGGTGGTCTGCAGGCTGTGAAAGGGTCATAGGGGCAAGGAGTGGCCCAGGAGTGTGACTGGGCCTCAGCAACCTGGACAGAGGACTTGGAGGCCCCAGAAGGCGGGGTGGTGGTGGTGTTGAAACAGGCTCAGGGCAATGGGCAGAAGCCGGAGGAAGGCCTTGGAGCCCTGGAGCACCAGACAAGGCATGCCAGCAAGGGGACTTTGGGCCCAGGACAGCTGCTTAGTGGGCAAAGAAGGAGGCTTGTGTTCAGGCCTTCCAGGGACTGGAAGGCACAGCAGTGTGAGGGGAAGCATGGTGGCAGCAACAGCACTCAACAATCAGCAAAGCCAAGGAAGATCCTGACTGCCATCCAGTGGCTGGGTGCCCGGTCCGAGGCCACAGCCCACAGTTACACTAAAGATGACTGAGCTACTTGTCTGATTATAACTTTGGTAATACTATGAGGCCTCTTAACCGTGATATAGTTTATGGCCTAAGCATGTCCTACGGCCCTGGTAGTATGTGAACAGTAAAGAAGTTAAATACTGCTGAAAGTAGGGTTGCAATATCAACAAGTGCCCATATACGTGCATTCTCTGTAGTGGTCCCCACCTTATGGATTGGTCTGCCTGAGGAGGTGAGGAAGGCTACCACCCTCCTTGGCTTTCAGCAAACTATGCAGAACTGAATTATTCAGGAATGCGTTTTTACAGAGTTAACAGAACAGATAGTTCAGGATAATGCTTTGATAAAGGGAAAGGGGCTGTAGACTATATTACTTGTACAGTACCTTTTATCTGTTGTTATTATGTAATTTGTACATTAACATGCCACGTGTTAATACTTATACTTTGTTTCAGATTTGTGCAATCCTAAATCTCTACATGGTTCACTGGATGTCACATCCTGTTCATTTTATTGACTTACATTGTGTAACCCACTTCCAGTCTCAGTGAGAAAGGCGGACTATAAATCCTGTCCTGAAGATTTGTGGGTGGAGTTTGGGGAGGGAAGAAAGCTTAGCAGTGGTATGATAGTACAGAATCCACTCCCCAAAGTAGCCATTTTCTCTAGGGGACCTGATCCTTGTAAATCTGGAGACCTGTCCTAATTCTGGGAGAATTCCAGGCCCCACTTAGAGGTTGGAAACCATGGCAGAAACTATTGCTAGAGAAGTAAAACGGCAAATGTGGGCTTACAATGAGGCGCACAGGTCCCACCACCTGCCAATGATAAATCTCACATTATGAGGGAGGAAGCCTTGGAGAAACGCTCCTCTGGCTCACAGAGAGGGGGACACAATGACGTCACGATTCGCGCAGCCTCATGCACAGGTGCGATGACATCACAGCCAAGCACAGCATACACACTAAAGTAGTCGGAAGGGAGAGGAGGGATGGCAAGGCTCCCCGTCTCTCCCCCCCCCCCCAAAGGCCATGGGGTTTGTTTCAGTGGAAAGCTGGTGTGCCCGGCACCTGTTGTTCCTGCGTCCTGGATCCCCGGCTCAGAGACCAGAACCGAGGGCGAGATCTTCTCCTTATCCTCCGACCTCCGCCAGCGGCGGCTGCCTCCGTGGACGCATTCCTGGTCGGTTCCTGCAGCAACACAGCCTTGGCGTTAACTCAATTTACTCTCTCCGCCATAATCTCCTCCCGCCCCACCAAGCCTGAACCCCTCCGGGCACGTGCAATTCACCGGCTCTCATCTTGTTTTCCGCTTCGCCTCGTTCAAACCGCGACTCTGCCGCCCAAACCGCCGCTCCGCCCAAGGCAGCGTCACGTTGCTACGCAACGAATGTCCCACGAGATGAGACGAGTCGGGAGCAGTGGTTTACCAGAGCCCCTACTGCGCATGCGCATCTGTGCGCCACCTAGCGACCGCGGGAGCTTCTGGCAAGATTCCTTGCCTTTAGGTACATTTAACAGCCTTCGAGTTCAGTGGCACCTTTAAGACCAGCAAAGGTTTATTCAAGGTATGAGCTTTCGTGCACACGCACTGTTTATCAAATATATAGCAAGGCTTGGGAAGATTTTTTTTAAAAAAACCTAAACAAGGTGCTTTGGTTTTATTACGGAACGTCATTACTTCAGTAGCTTCCATCACCGCGCCCGCGGGAGCTTGCAAACCTGTTAATTCGGGGGGAGTGGGGGGAGAAATCGCATTTTCACCTATAGTTTGTCACCCCAGTACACGCGATGAATCAGGCTTTGAGGTTATCTCCCATCTGCGACAACAAAATTGCTCCACTTCAGTTCGACAAACCGGATAAAGGATATCGGGGATGTGAGGGCACACAACTAAAAAGCCCAGGGTCGCCCTAAAGACTAACAAAATGTATCCCAACATTACTGTTCCTGACTTAGAGATCACCGTTCAGTTTCCACGCTGTTGTTTCTGGTCTTTCATTATTTTAATTAATTATAAAAAAAAGAGAGCTGGCGAAATAAGGTCAGGAGCCTAATACCTATAATTAGATGCTCCTATTCTCCTCCCCATTAGTGTGTTCCTGGAAAAAAGACTAAATGTGAATGTCATTTGGAGTGCTCCACCGCGTCTTCTCTCCTTTTCCTTTGTACAGATTTGTGCATTGGAAACACAGTATCAAATGTGTCATCAAGTTCCGACCAATTGAGCTGACATTTTATGCTAATTTGTTTCCACCGAAAGCAGCACATGAAGCAGGGAACAACAAACAAAAGTGCAGTCCAATATTTTTTAACACAAACCAAGAAGGGAACCATTTGGAAATCTTACTTCACCCCACTCTCATGTCTTTCAGGCACCAGGCTGGTTTCTCCTCTCCCTTTCATTCCTCCAGCTGATGCTGCTGTCCAGGGCCCATCCCTTCTAGAGCATGTTTAGTCCCCGTAGAGCTCGGTCTTGAGCATGGGAGAGGGTAGTTTACGAAGTCATACATTTCTGCATACCTATGTAGTCCTCCAAGTAGATGGCCTTGTTGTGTTGTTTTCACACGGGCTAGCCACTTGACTAACAAATACAGTTATAACATTCAGAAATACAAAGAAACAAAGTTTGAGTCCAGTGGCACCTTTAAGACCAACAAAGTTTAATTCTGGGTATAAGCGTTCATGTGCATGAACACGTCATCAGATGCAAGAAAGCGTATGCCCAGAATTAAACTCTGTTGGTCTTAAAGCTGCCACTGGACTCAAACTTTGTTCCACTGCTTCAGACCAACACAGCTGCCCTGTCCACACTTTTGTGCAGGAGCAAAAAAGAAAGGGGGAGGAGCAGTGCTGGAGGGTGGCTACAGTGAGCAGAGCAAGGAAAGGGACATGTGGACCCTGTTTCCATCCATTCCCATCCTGCTTGCAGCTGATGCTGTGGTGAGGACACATTTTTATGCCCCTATGTAGATACAGCCATAATTAAGAGTGTTGGACTGGGCTCCAGGGAATCCAGCTACAAATCCCCACTTAACCATGGGGGGGGGGGTGTGCATGCAAAGTGCAGTCAAGTGGCTTCCAACTTATGGCGGCCCAATGAATTAATGAGCACCAAAACATTCTGTGGTTAACAGCCTTGCCCAAGTCTTGTAAACTGAGGGCTGTGGTTTCCTTTACTGAGCCAATCCATCTCATGTTTGTTTTTTTCCTGTTACCTTCAACTTTTCCTAACATTATTTTAAATAGTTTTTTAAATTTTTCAACAGTTAAATTAATAACAAAGAAAACTTGAATATATCATGACAGAGTAATAGTGTTTGATAAAATAGTGCAATATGTCAGCATTATATATAACTGCAAGAGATTGGATTTATACCCCACCCTTCACTCACAAACTCCTTTCCCTTCTGCTCCCCTCAACAGACACCCTGTGAGGTAGGTGGGGCTGAGAGAGCTCTTTCCAGAACTATCCTTGAGAGAACAGCTCTGACAGAACTATGGCTTGCCCAAGGTCATCCAGCAGCTGCAAGTGGAGGAGTGGGGGATCAAAACTGGTTCTCCCAGATTAGAGTCTGCACACTTAACCACTACACCAAATGTCTTCTTATAATGTGAGCAAAGTAGGATAACCTCAGTTTAGTCATTTTAGCTTTTAGGGAGAGTTCAGGGTTGATTTGATCTAGAACCCACTTATTTGTCTTGTTGGCAGTCCTTGGTATCTGCAAAACTCTTCTCCTACAACACATTTCAAAGGAATCCGCTTTCTTCCATGAGGATTCTCCTTATTATGACTATGGCCTAATCACTGGAGCCACACTGGGACTCGCACTGTTTTTCAGATATGGCAAACACAAACAAAGGGCATATGTTATCACTCTGATCAGGGCTCCAAGGCTGGAGAAAACTCAGATAGGGACCTGGGTACAGGGATGGACTTCAGCCAGTGGTGAGTGGGGCAGATGTTTGGGGAGGCAAGCCCCAAAGGAAGGGGGAGGAGAAGAACAGATCCCTACCGCTGCTTGCATCTGTTTGTTCTGGGGCCCAAGGAGCCAGTTATTATCAGAGAGAAAGTACGCTGAGGTGGCCAAGTAACCCATGTGAACACATTTGTGTACAGCTACACCAAGAACTGGAGTTATTTAGAACAGTCCTAAAGGTGCCAGCATTAGTGCTGCTCGTGTATTCTTCCAGATGTCCTCTCCTCTGCAAGGGATGAGGAGGAAGGGAAGGAACCGAGTGAAATGTCATAACTTTCAAACCATTAGGTCGACCGACACACGCTGCTTCTACAAAGTTCAAGCAGAGAGAGAGAGCTGTTCCTTACTCCTACATGGGAGTCAAATTTGTCAAATTTTAGATGGCTGTTCATCAAGAGAAGGGCAGAAATAGATAGGATAACCAATGCCTGTTTGGTAGGATAACTTTATAAGTGTTGATCAGCCAACATTGACAGCTAGTTTCAGTCTCTGCATTTAATTCAGTGAAGGGCCACGTGCTAGCTAGCACAAACCTTTGGCAGAGACTTAAGCATAGTTCACATATCTCCTGCTGCTTTGGTCTCTTTAGGGAAACGATACACAGCATGCCCTCACATGGCCTTATTCTTCAGCTCTCTTTACTTTCCCTGGAGAAATGAATATGCAATATAAGGTTTCTGGCCTTTAGAGATAATGTGAGCATTTCTGGTCCCCCCTCCCCATGAAGGCAGAGATTACACTGTCTCTGCTACAGTAATACCTGAGGGAGAGTGGAATGAAGTGCTCCCTCTAAGCTGTGGAGTCTTGTGAACAAAAATTCTACTTTGTGAGCTACTGGCATTAAAGTTGTGAGCAAACGATTTGGCTACTGCATAAACTAGTTTGCTCTGGAGCCATCCTTCCTGAACTAAGCCAAAAATGTGTGAGCTGGAGGCTAAAAAACTGAGCTCGCTCACACTAACTCAGCTTAGAGGGAATGCTGAAGTGGACTCTTCTTAACATGGAGACACACATACCTTAGATCTTGCTGCTGACTTTACTAGGCACAGATAAAACCCTATCTGACTTCAGAAAACTCTTGGTCTTGGAGCAAAATGAATGCAGCTGAAGTGAATTTTTGTTCCGTACAGGAGTAACTTTTGCTAATTTGAGGAAATTTTCCCCATCCCCTTTTTCAATTTGCAGTATTTACCACTGCTGTCACAAATAGTATGCACAAAAACTTTTCTGAATAGATCTGCACATTTTTATTGGATGCTAATTAACACAGAAAAAATACTGCTGCAAAATAAATTGTGTGTTTGTTTCGGGGTGTTTTTCCCCCATTAAGTCATTTAATCACATTTGTTCACAGGATCCCTGATAAAGTACAGTTTTGTTTTGTTTTTACGTTCACAAATATCTTTGGTTGGGATCTGAAGAGCTACTCAAACATACTTGAGGACTTGCACACACCAGTAAGATTTTTTCTCCTTTGAAGTGCAAATCCTTATGCTAGCTCATAAACAAAGGCCCTGTTCCAGCAGTGGATGTCCATCAAAATGGACACCAAGCCAGTCCTATCGGACCCAGATAGGCATCATGGATGCAGATGTGTTTTCAGCTGCTAGGCTGTGTACAGAAATCTCTACTTACATGTGGGGTAGACAGGTTGCCCTGGAGTCTGGAGGCCTGCTGTCCAAAACAACCCCACCCTACATCTGTTGCGCTTGTGGAAATAATCACATTTTGGGGCAGGGATCTTGCCATTTTCATGTATTTATTTCTTCTCCTCAGCATAACGATAAAGACAGGCAGCAAAAATAAACTTACAGTAACAAAGCAAAATATTTCATTTTGGGGGTCACAATCCTTTCTTCTAATGAAAATGACCCAAGTACTTGCTACATTGGCTTCGTAAGTTCTATGTTTAACATATACAAGTTGAGAGGTAAGGTACTAAAAATGAAATCCTATCTCATGGTGTGCATAATATTGTGGGCTTTGTATATAAATGATAAATGGGATTTAAGAAATAATGCATAGACGTCTAAGACACACACACTGTCTTCAGAGCACTTCACTGCATTTGATATTAATAAGACAAATAGCTCCGTCTCATCCACATAAGTGAATCATGTCCAGCTCCACTCCACTCACTCATTGCCTAGTTACTCCTCTTTCTCCAGCCAGGAAAGGTCATGTTGCCAGGTCCCTCTCAGGTATGCCCCCCCCAAGCAGGATGCTTTGTTTTCCAGAAGGAAGAGAGAACAGTGAGAAGAAGGAACACTGACAGATGATATAAAAACTGCTCACTGTGTGTTCATAGTGCAGTGAACTCTATAGAATAAGAATATCTTTTTTTAAACCCAAAGGATTTGTTTTCAGAGGTCGGAGTACTCTGGACTGGATTTCTTTCTAGTATTACTTGTAAAAAAATGAATCTGAGGATCTGGACAGAAATATAGGTCTCTCACTATAGGTAGCTGTAACCAAAATAAATTCAAAGGCACTTAATCTAATACAGCAACTTATATTAACTTTATACGCCATCAGATTACATTGGCGATCGTGATAATAATCCGTAGACAGAGATACAGGATACTAGAAATATTATCCTTCTGCTCCATCCTATCCCTCCCTCAAAAGCACTATGTTGGATTCAGGGACTGTACTGCTGCTGTAAACTGATAATGGCTTGCGTGCATGCAGGTATGTTTGTCTCCAAACGGTTAAGCCCTGGGATAAACAGTGACCGCTTCATATCCCTCTGGTGGCCTCATGCGGGCTCGGGCATGAGCTTCACAGTATAATTGCCCCTCCACGAAGAAGTAACCTTTCTGCTTCAAGTTGAGGTTGCAGTCCGAGCACACAAAACATTCCGGGTGCCGGTGTTTATCACGTGCCTTTACAACCGTGCCGCTGCGAAGAGCAAAAGGAACGGATAAAACCAAGAGGTTAAATATCAGTCACATACGAGGACGATGATTTAAGAAGTGAGATTAAAACATTACAATACAACTAGAGGCATGCAGCTAATGACTTGGTCACTTATTACCAAATCAATATAGAACCCTGGCCCAATCTGCATCTAGCATTTGCTCTGCTGTTTTACCAAACCTACAATGGAAAAAGATGCGGATCAAAACCACATTCAAATACCCCAGGCCAACACCGTACTGACTGCAGAGTCACCCGTGAATGGCCATAAAACGGCCCTAAATCTATGCAGATAGCTACCATAAAACCAAGAGATCAAACGAAGTGAAAGCAGCATGCAGTCAGTCTGGAGACTCCCATAAAATCCGAAAATCAATAAAAGTGAAAGTGGCACTCAATGCAGAGGGGAATTTCTGTTCCAGCATGGGTTTGGTAAGACAGCGGAGCAAATGCTAGATGCAGATTGGGCCCCTGTCTTGCTGGGGTGGATCCTACTGCTGTCTTCCCACTCCACTGAGCACAGACCGAAGCCTTCCTCCCCTAAGGGAACTTCCTCCAATTCAACTGGCTTTTCATAGGAGGAAGGGCCACTTAAGTTTTAGGAAGTATCCTTAGGCTGGAGGAGGGCTCATTGGAGAACTTTGGATTCACGCTCCCCACCCCACCCCATTTTTAGCAATTTCTGGCCATGTGTGTATTTTTACTCTGTCCATTCTCAGTTTTCCTTCTGTTCTTGAGATTGTTCCCATTCTCCTCTTTCACCTTTCTGAATGTCTTCCTGTTCAGGTCCTTCTTTCTTATTCCACCCCACCCACTCCTAGTTTCCTTACTTTGTTGCTCTATCACATTCATGTCTATTCCTATCTAGGTTTCTGCTTGATCTTGATCTTTCTCTCTCTTTTTTGCCTTCTTCCTGCACTGCCCCCTTTTTAGATTCTCAGAAGTTTAGCCAATGACAGCCAGAAACCCTTCTGACAGCCCAGCCCTTTTCCAATAGGCAGGCAACTGAATCAATCCCTGCCAGCAGTTTTATCACCACTACTGCAAACTTCTTTAATGCATTACATTACAGGTTTCTTCAATATTAGTAGTTTAGTCTGGAATTGCCATCATTGTTTTTTCAAAACAGAGAATCTAGATGACCGTGGCTGCTCCCATGGATTCTCCATTTTGTGTTCATCACTGCTGTTTAATGCAATATAGTGCGAAAGTAAGGCAAAGTATAGTTAAGTGTATGTGCTGCTAAGGATAAGGGAAGTTCCGAGCAGGCTTCTTTTAGATGTGATACTGGAACTTCTTCAGATACACAAAAGAGTCAATACGTGTACCATCCTTTACTCCTGTATGGGTCTCTACAAGCCTGAATAACTGTGCAGTTCGCTCTGAGTAGACTACAGGGCACATCTCAGGTTTTTTTCCTATTCAAGCCAATGGAACAATTCGATTTGCTTTCATTTGGTAGAACCCAGTGTTGTGATTTTCAAAGACTAAAAGAATCCCTTTCAAAAGGCTGGGCAAATAACGTAGAATCAATATATAATGGGGAGCAGGATTTCACTCCCTAGATCCTACATTTGAGCTGTTCATATTTAATACTGCCAGGCACAGCTGTGGGAAAGATCATGTGTTATATGCACGTGTACATCAACTGTTGCATATTGCATCCAGTACATACAGGGAAGGTGAGACGGGAGGCAGGCATGACCCAGGTGCCTCACTACACATTGGCTTCATTGCCCAACACTCATACCATAGTTATAGGCCAATCCTCTGCCCTTTCATTTTTGCCCCAGAAGCTGAGCCTGCTGTGAGGCCACCTGCAGTGCTGGAGGAATGGGGCAGGTGTCCTTTGGCATCACAGTAATGAGCCCTAATCTGGTCTCCTGCTCTGTTAAATCCAGTCTGCATAGCACAGGGCTATTAGGCTCTACTAAGATCGCATTTCAGTAGGAGCCATGCCTGTCACGTAATAATTCAGCAAGCTTTGCCAACTTTACAGCGACACAGAATCTGTAGATGTGATTTACAGACTATGCCTTTCCACTTGTAATATTTAAAAAACAGCATATTGCACTGAAGTTTAAACAAACACACTTGTCTATCCACATTCATTACCTGGAATTTCGAATAGTTTATGAGTACTCTTAGAACTGTGTATGGTTTGCGTTTTCATTCTCAAGGTAAATCATGCTTTCACCCTAAGTTTCAGGGGGAGCTTTTGGGTATCTATAGTATGGATTTGTTAAAAATAAAATTAAAATCTTACACAATTCCATTTCCACACTTGTCACACAAGGGAACCTTTGGCACACTTCCTGCACCAGCAGATGGCTTTGTCATTGGTGCTTTCACGCTCCTTGTACCAGTTGGCCGTCCATCTGAGGGGGGAAAAGATATTTCCATTCACAAAACAGTCCAGAGTGCTGGTCTTCTTCTAAATTTCTAGAATCAGAGGCTTAAGCAATAACCTTTTGATTGTAACACTGAACACAACTCCACCTCCTTACTAATAAATATTTTATGTTTTAGGGCCAAAGACTGCATGCATAGACTGCAAGCATAAATCTATTTCCAACTATTTTTGTGTTTATTTAGATTGGTTGTCCTTATTACTGGCTTCCCAGTTTCTTCAGTCATCCCTAGTTTATCATTCTTACTGAAACCCAGAAGGACTTTAAACATTCTTTACTTTTAGTCTAGATCACATTCATTCAGTTTAACTAACCAAAATGTCAGGCATTCCTTTCACCTCTCTCTTTTTAAAAAGAAAACTCACCAGTTCTGTTTATTACTAGATGCCTGACATTGGCAGCAATTGACATTTTGTTGTATTATCATGTTGTTGTAAAGCATTAAGATATTGTATGGCTAGATTGTATAAACTTGTGAAAATGTTGTATACTTAGATACTACTATCAAGTATAAAAGCAATTGTATTAAGCATACATAACTGATGTTTTAGAGTGTATTATTGTACTGATATTGGCCCCTGTTTTGTTTTCTTTGGAGTATTACTAGATGCAAACATCAGCTCTACAGCTTCAGTTAGTATATCATGACGTATTAAATATTAATTTACTATTATTCCTATCTAACATGTTTTAATTTTGGTTAAAATGGCATCTCAACAGCTCACTGTCTTGGTATACATCCGTTATTGTTATCAATGTTAATGTTCTTCTTTTACCCACTGAATATACACACCATTGATAGAGTAGTTTTAAATTTCAAAGCTCTTCACGTAAATTCACAGCCCTGTTAGGTAGACCAGTATTACCCAGGGGTCATTTCCTAGAAAAAGAGGTGCAGGAGCTCATTTGCATAACTCATTTGCATATGCCACACCCCCTGACAAAGGGCAGGCATGTTTAAATTTAGTTAAGGCATATGCAAATGAGTTTAAATCCCCCACAGAGAGGCTCAGGGGGAAAGGGGCCATATCTGCCCACCTCCCCTTCCCCTGTCCAGCCAACCCACCGCAGCGGGCTGGCTGGAGAAGGGGAGGGCAGGGAAGCAGACATGCCTGGCTCCCCAGCCCGATCTTCTCCAGGTGCACCTGGAGAAGATTGGGCAGGGAACCCAGGGATTTAAATCCCCCCCAAGTCTCTCCACCGGTGGCCAGGAAAGGCAGGGGGCGGGGCCTGGGCTCCTTACTGCCAGAGCGCTGCTCTGGCAGGAAATGACCCCTGGTATTATCTATATAACTAATTCTGAAACTGGCCCCAGAGTGCAGATTTTAAAATCTGCACAATGGGGCCAGGGACAGACACAGGAGATATTTCTGCAAAACTTAGGGAGCCCTCAGGTATACAAAAAATTAAATTAAAAAGGAGTGGGGTTGAAAGAAAATTAAAAATATTTAAGATGGATAAAAACTAGAACTAACCAGATTCTTCAGAGACCATATCCTGGAGAATCTTAAAGGAACCAGACTGACGTGGTTGACTCGATCCTTCCTGATTATCATGTAGCATCCTATAAACGTCAGACTTGGGTGCTGAAGCTGGTACTGGGTCGCTGCAAAGTCAATAAGGGTCAGAAATATGGTTAACCAATAAAGAATGGAAGGAGCAAGCAGTAGCATGTCAACTGATCAAAACTGTAATTATTCTCAACTTTTATACATAATTTCATATAACTTTCATATAATACAGGTACAAGTTTTATTTTTTAACGAAACAAATGCTTACCATAACTGTATCATTTTATACTAATGAACATTAATAATATTGGTCATTTCCAGTTCTAGCCAAGTGTGGGACAAGACAAGGTTTACATAGAACCAGAGTTTAGATTCTCAAGGTTAGAGACCTGACCTCCTAGAATAGTTTTTTCCTGTACTTCTGCCAACAGAGCACACAAAACCACTGTCCAGATGAGCTCATTGGTTGTTGCTTAATGTCCAGCAGTAAGGGACAAATAAAGTAAAAGTATCTTTGAACACATGCTTAATCTATAGGCACACATTTTAAAACTTTCACTTCTTGCCAAGAGAAGTGGCAGCTAATGGTTTCAGATTCACGGCTTAATCTTGAGTAGTCATCACAAAGGTGATTGCAGTGTCCCACAAGAAAAGGGATTTGAGGCTACCAGACACAAAACACTCTGGCATTACAATAGCTCTTCCAAGTTCATGCCTAGTGAAAATGAAACCCACCGACAGAGATGTCTCAAAGCTCCTTTTACTGGAAGACTTCCCAAAAGCATGTTACTTGCAATGCAATCAATGCAGATTAGTTCAGGATTCTAGGTAGTGGGTAATGTCACTGGACTTTATATTACCAGGAGTCACTGTCTCGACATTGGAACATCTTTGGTCAATGTATTGAAAGTTCCAAATTTTAAGAGAGGTTTTTTATTTTCTAGAAGCTTAATTTAAGTGGCTATATTTGTGTCTCTGTGGTAATTTAAAGGCAATCCCATGTATGTTGAAAGAGTTTTAGACTGTTAGAGGAGAATCAACAGAAAACCGTCTGATAAGTGAAGTAAAAAAATGTATCATATATTATATTTGATGGAACAAGTATTGTCCACTGGTCTATTTTAAGGCATACTTCTTGCTTTAGGAAATGATAGTAAAGCAGAGAACAAAAGGATATTGTGCTTTGAGCTGCAAAAGTACAAACTGCTAAACTCTGAAAAAGCAAATGTACACCTGCATAAACATTCAATATCTCATACAAAACATTTTAATAGCTGACAAATAACTGCACTAGTTAGAGCCACCCCAAATATAAATATATAGAAAAACAGACTCCCTTTTTATCATTTGTGGACTCAGGTAAGATTGACTTGCAGGCACATATGCTGAAAGCTCGAGATATAAGTAATATAATAGAGCAGCAACATTTTACCTAACTTTTATGAAGACTAAAATATCCCTCGCTATTAATACTTATCCATCTGATAGCCACGTTTTGCTATTTTTGTCTTTTGTGGACAGCTAGATGCCATTGCTTTTTTGGGGAGCTTTTATGCAACACTGCGCTTATTTCAAGCCTGACTAGTGGGGCTCCTAAGTCTTTCTCTTTGAGCCGGAGCAAACCCCCCCCCCCGCCATTTGTACCAGTTCAAAAGTGACTGTGGATGGAGCATCCATGCGGATACTTTGCCTACAACCAATCTGAGGAGGGTGGTGCAGCTAAGCTCCGCCTTCAGAATAGCAGAGCTAACATATGCTTTTCCTCTCTTCCCTTCAGTCCTTTAGTAGGCTTTTTTCCCATTCCACAGTTGAATAATGATGTAGTGTTAGCACACAGGCTCAGCTGTGACTGGGAAAAGGATGAGGAAAGGGGTTGCACTTGCCAGGCTACAGAGGGACAGCATCCCAGTTATTTGCTCATGCCCCTCCGAGTCAATTGAGACCCTTTTCCATATATTATTCCAGTGTTCCTACTATGCAGAAGAAAGAGCCCTTTTAATTACACCTATAATAAGGTCATTCAGACACCAAGGACAATTAGTAATCCACTCTGAGGAACTTTTGCTGAAACATCTATTGGAGGACAAATCCATTGCAATATCAAGGAATGTTGCCAAATTTCTCTTTATTGCATTTACAAAGCGTAAGCTCCTCCTCAATGTTCCTCATGATATCTCTTCTCTGTAATGCTTTTTGCTTTTGTTCTGTATGCTATTCTATGGGTCTCTGACCGTAATAAAATGAATGGACAGCATCCCAGCTACTTTCACCCCATTCATTGCTGCTCCTGTGGCAGGGGGTGGCACTTCATGCCTCTGTGTGGAACTGGCCCTGATGAAATTTTAAATCTTATATTATGTGACAATGTCATGTACTAAACAGAATTACATTTTTGGCTTCAGTGGACTTAGAAGGATATAACTTTGCTTAGGATTGGACTGAAATTGATGTAATTATCATTTGCCTATCTATGGCCCCGGTCACACGAGCTGGATATCGCGAGGGGGGGGAGGCGTGGCTGTTTGCCCCACAGCGAAATAACGCGCAACTGCATGATCAGGCGTCCCCTCGTAGTCCCGTCGAGGTCCCGTGGTTAGGAGGGAGGTGCCGATCACACGACGCGCCAAAGAAGCGGCACGGCACGGCAAACGGGGTTGTGGGGTTTTTTTAACCTGACGTATGCGCATGCCCCGTTGGGTGCTTGTGCGCACCCCTGGAGACTTCGAAAAAACCCCACCTTTTCGCAATGGGGCATGGGCGGGCGCCGGATGCCACTGGAAACGCGATCAGACGCCTGCCCTTGCCCCGCGATTTCCGGAAACTAGTACCTCTGAGGTACTAGTTTTTAACCGTGCATCTTCGGAGGGAAGCCTCGGGTTCGCCACGGGAGCTCTACGCTTCCCAGATGTGGAGGCGAGATCGCGCTCGGAAAATCCGCCTATCTTCTGTCGCAGTAGCGTGGCTACTGCTCCGTGTGATCGCAGCCTATATTGGATAATGTTATAAAATTTGAAAGAAGGCTTCCCCCATTTTCTAAATATAACTGCATTAAAATACACAGAACAGGCAGCCAATATCCCACATCATCTGTTTTAAAAATCTGATAACCAACTTTTTCACCCTAAAAACTGCCCATAGATCCAGTTTATCAGTGAAAAACCAGATAACAGAACTATTGCAAACCTTCCTTAATTTTAAATTGTTCATAGAGTCTAAATTAGGGGACTCCAACCTTTTTGAGGCTGTGAGCACCTTTGCAATTTTGAGACAAGGTGGTGAGCACCATCCCAAAATGGCTTCCACAGAAGGTAGAGCCAGACTCAAAATGGCTGCTGCAGGAGAAGGAGCCAAATGGAACACCTCCCTGCTCACACCTAATAGGAAGAAGAAAATCTTGACGGGGGAACAGAACCATACCCTAACTAAGGAAAGCCCAGCTGTTTACTAGTCCCCCTTCTCATCCAATGGAAAACTCATTTGAATGAAAGAAGCCAATTAACAATTCCTGCCTAACAATGGTCCCACCCACTTTTTGAAAAGACTGGCAGGCACCAGTGGAAGTGGCAGTCTCCATGATACCACAGGTACCATGTTGGGGAACCCTGGTCTAGAGCATGCAGAAATCTACAACTGGATTTATGTTCTGAAATGCCTTTTCTCAGATAAGAGCACATGACAGAAAGTAGGGTTTCCAAATCCCCCCGGGGGGCGGAATTCCCCCCGGTTTCGAGCCCCGATTCCCGCTCCCGCCGAATCGGGGCCTGGGGGAAACCTCACCCCTGCGTGTGCATCACCCGGAAGTGACGTCGCACGCTGGGGGCGGGGCGACGCCATTTGAGGGGAAAACAAAGAGTTTTCCCCTCAAATGGCGTGGCCCCGCCCAGCGTGTGACGTCACTTCCGGGTGACGCTCCGGAAGTGCGGGCGCACGTCCCCGGCCGGCTCCCGGAGCAACAGGACGCTCCCCCGCCGGTAAGATTTTTCTATTTGGCAACCCTAACAGAAAGTCATATGGACAAATATGAGAATGAATTCTAGCATACTTTGAATATCATCATTTGCTAATAATCTGTTCAAATGTTTAATGATTTGCATGCCATAACTTTAAAATTGCATGCATTCACTGTTTTTAAGTCTTAATAATGAATGGAGCAAGAACAGGTAATCGTAGCAATATTCATGCATTAGTAAATATGTCTCTCTCTCTCTCATACACACACACACACTCTCTCTCATTACCTTATTGGGGGTATCTCCCCCAGTGCTGTAGAAACCTGACCCTGCAGCGTTTCCATAATATTGTCATCTGAATATAACTGCATAGGTGTGTTAAACTGAGCATGTACAATCTTGACACCGGGAAGTTCCATTTCTAAGGGAATGTTGGGGGCCATCTTAGCTGCTGCTTTCAACTCAGTAGGGCAGATAGTGCTAACAGTGCTAACTGAAGAGGGTGTGCTACGTCCACTGCCGCCGTCAATACCAGAAGGAGTACTGCAAACACTGTGCCAAAAACCAGTATATAAAAGAACATGTGATGCAAACCAGAGAGGAAAACAGAGATGAAGAACAGGAGCAGAAGCATTTGCAAGGGATTGAGTGAATCAAATGCAAGGGGAAAAAACAACAACCAGAATGTGTCATTTTGTTGTTTACTGCATAATATGCCAAAAAATTTTCACGGCTTCTTTTTCATCCAAGGTTTAATTAAGCCTCATATTTTGGCACATAATCATGTGAGATTTGCAGACAGGGTACAGCAAAATTTAATCTGACCAGATTCAGACACCAATCAAGACCAGAAGAAAAATCCAGAAAGCAAACTTTTTTCCAGTCCTGTGTGCAAAGCAACAACAATCTGATGAAATGCTTTAACTCCATCCTCTGTCCTATGTGGCATTGTATTAATGGACAATGTAACCACACATCACTGAATACTGTGCTATTTTTACACCGTAGCAACCATTTGCACCTGGATTTTCCTGTGTGGATAAAACAATCCAGTTGTGTTTGACTGCTACAGTGCAACAATAGGGCAATATCTAATGAGGTGTGGATGATCTTTGGTGTTGGCATAACACAGCAGCAACACTGGTAATATGTCTAGGAGGAAAGCTGAAGAACTGGGGCTTTCAAATTTAGAAAATAAAGATGAGCAAGGGAGAACATGAGAAGTTTCTAAGATGATACATGACATGCAAAAGTGGATGGAGATAACTTTTCTGTAATATTAGAATTCAAGGACACTCAGTTACTATGATGGGCAGTAGACTGAAGACAGACAAAATAAAGTATTTCTTCACACAACACATAATTTATGGAACTCACTGCCGCAAGATGTGACAATACTATATAGCTTAGTTGGCTTTAAAAGGAGATTAGATAAATCCAGGTGTTGGATTCGCCAGCTGTTATGCTGGCAGAATGGGGATTCTGTTGATGGAAGACGAGAGGGATGGTTTCTATTTCCTCTTCCATACTCCACCTCCATGATGGTCCCAAGGGTCATTTGACCCCCCCTCCCCAGAGCATAATTTGAGGGGGCTCAGTGACCACAGCAGAAGTCAAGAAGTCCCAGTCTGCCAGTTATACTCTGCAGGTGGCAGTCTGGGTCCAGCTCATGAAGGATAAATCTATCAGTGGGTCTTAAATCTATTTATGATAAATCTTATCTGATATATGATAAATCTTATCATGAAGGATAAATCTATTAGCCTTGATGACCAAATAGAATCTCCATAACTACAAAGGAGAGGGCTATTGCCTAATTGTTCAGCATGTGGTGGGTCACTGGAGGAAAGGATGCTAGACAAAATGGATTTTTGATCTGGTCTAGCAGGGCTCTTCCTATGTTCTGGTAACAGAGGTACAACTCATCTTAAACACCAATTCGTTAACAATAAGTATTAGGATCAGGAGGCCACAAATTATTGAGATGGAGGCCACAAATTATTGAAATGTGTCAGATATGTATTCTTGCATTTGTTTCAAACTGGCAAAAGAGGCATGCTTGTGCAACGTTCAGAAAGTCTCCAATTTAAGCACTCAGTGGTCCCAAACAAAAACTAGATAGGCAGGGAATGTTGCATAACTGACCTCATTTTTGTGTGTGTATATGATTTGGAATGGCTGTGGGTCTTTTTTGTTTGTTCTTTAGAAAGCCATCAGAATATTTTTATACCAAATGTTACAGCTAGAATCTCCTCAGTGTCATCAATTTGATTACACCTCCCCAGAATTTAAGAAACTCTTTACAGCAATAAATGTCCTCAACAGTACTTTCTCCGGGAAAGTCATCCAGTAAAGGTGGTATTATACATGCAGGCTGTCTGTTATTCATTGGACCTTGATAAGGCACTTTAAGAACTCTTTGGTGAAATTCTAAATATGCTGTTATGCTAGAAATTAGATGAAAGGATAAGGATGAGTATACTTTGGCCTGTCAGTGGAAACTGTTTCAATACAATAGCTGTGTTGCTGTATCAGTTTTTCTTGAATAACCCAAACATCCTCTTCCTAAGCACGTTTACAGGAAAGTTAATCTCACTGATTTAACTTAACTTTAGTATGTAAAATTAGAACTTGGCACCTAAAAATAAATCTGCATGTTGCAGGAAGCAGTGATGGACAGGCCATTAATAAAGGAGGAATGTATATATCACCCCCCATGGTGAGATGTGCACAGTGAGGTCCTGCCATCTCACAGCAGTAGTGTGTCTACCTCTGGGAACACAACAAAAGAATACCCAAATCATATGCTCATGCTCCATTAACAGTTCCTGAAATATGTGGAGCCTTACACTGGCATAACACTGCAGAGCAGTGCACCGCCAGACTATTAACCTATGCACACTTACTAGACACTGCACACAAATAACTACTTCTGAGTCAGTGTATTCTGGGATTAGCATACAAATGCTACGGTAAGTATCTGCAATTTAGCAAATGCCAATATTCACATGCAAATACCGTTTTGCCACTTTTCAGACACATACTAGTCCCTGTTAATTTTCAGTGGTCTACCTCTAATTCTGAGGTTCTTGAAATTCATCTAGGATCACCAGTGTTCACATGTGAATACAACATTCAGCATGGTGTATTTACTGTAACGTAGCTGAGATTTAAATATCACACACAGTTTAAGGCACCAGATTTTTCTCTGTCTAAAGGATCCTGCTTCAAAATCAAGACAAAGAGGTATCAAAGCTAATTTCCTTTCCTGGATGTCACATGGAATTTATGTCGGACCATATTGTCAAAAGCATTAAGAAAGGCACATTCCTTACCATCAAAGGCAAGACAAAGAAAATGAATTCCAGAAGAGGCACACATGTTCCAAAGCCAGTACGTAGTTTTTACACTTGCCAGCTCACCCAGCCAAATATCCATACAAGGGGACAGCCATGCTGGCACATGCCATTGTTCAGAAATAAAGTGAGGGCCCATGTTCGGAAGAAAAGGGCAACACTTGTCCGTAATGGAAGCATGAATGCCTGAAGCAGAACTGAGTTGTTAAAAGCCAAGCATGGACATTGTTACTAGCAAAGAACGCATTGTTACTAGCAAAGAACCTTACCCTGAACGCAGTTAGCAAAATTATTTCTGACCGCTTTCAGCAGATACCATGGGTTGTTATGTAAACGCTTAAACAGCGCTCAGCACAGAATTTAATTATTCTCAGTTGGCTATTTTTGCAACAGTCTTTTCCAAGCAAGACTGGGTAATCAATATATCTAATTCTCAACATGGCCCCATATGTGGATACTTAAATTAAAAAATGGGGTCATGATTAGACAAAAAAGATCTTGCAACAAACATGAAAAAAGCCCCAGGTTTGCAGAAAAACCTGAAATCTAAATAAATTAAAATGGGAGGGTTTACCCCTCAAATAATAGATGTAGCATCTGTATCTTTATAAAATGAATGCCCTCTCAGTGGCCATTGTGGGGGTTGCTAGGCAACCAAAACAGTATTGGCAGCCTTCAAGACTTGGCTTTTTTCAGTAAAAGGAGGGCAGAGAGGGCAGGGGACTTCCAAGGCTCTTTGGGCCTTTGAGGAAAAACTCCTCATGCCAGGGCTGGCAGAAACCACTAGGGGAATTAATATCACATGACCATGACTCATCCAGGAGAGGCTGCTTGCTATTGTTCAACAGCAGCCATCTCACAAAAGTCAGTGCGGTATAGTAGTTCAGAGTTTCAGTCTAGAATCTGAGAAACCCAGTGTGAATCACCACTCTGTCATGGAAGCTCACTGGGTGACCTTGAGCCAGTTACACAGTCTCATCCTAACCTCAAAGGGTTGTTTTTAGGATAAAATGGAGGTGAGGAGAATGATCTCTCCATTGTGGAGAAAGGCAGGTTATAAATGAAGTAAATAAACAATAAATCCAGCTGAAGATGGGGGGGGGCAGATAAAAGGTAGACTAGCTGGTGGGTGGGAAGGAAAGAAAGAAGCAGGGAACAGTGAGAATATGAGGGTTGCCAGGAGGAAGAAAAGAGGAAGCAGTGTGAGGAGGAGAATACACGGAAAGTGAAGTGCCCTTGGCAAGTTCTTGAGGGTTCCCTGTCACACATCTGGGTTTACCCTGGCAGCCAGCACTGCACAACTGAACAATTGTTTTTTGTGGTTGGGAAGGAGCAAAAGCTGAAGACAGGGCGGTAGATAAAGGCAGATTACCTGGTGGGTGGGAAGGTAAGAAAGGGGGAGAGATCCTACAGGAGCTTTCGGGGAAGGAAGTAAGAAACAGTAGGGGAAGGGAACATGAGACACCCCACCCCACAAGTCTTTGCAGGTCCTGTGAAACCTTTCATTTAGACTGACGAGCTGAAGGAAGCTCTATGTATGGTTCTCTCAGTCTTCCTTCTGGTCTGAAAGACCTCCTGGGGCAATTGAACACATGACATTCTCTCATACTCCTTCCAGCCCACAAGCCCTTTGTTCTCTAAGGCTAAAAAGGAAAGAAGGGGGGAGGAACAGTAACAGTGCTGCACCAAATCAGTGTTATGGAGGCCATGCATGTGATTTCTTTTCCATTGTTGATTCTAGCACAGGAGGACAGGCATATGGGTTATAATGTGGACAGACATTAAAAGGTCTGTAAAAATTTCCAAGCAATAAGGTTGTAAATGTTTGATTTACCTTCTGATCTCAGTTCTCCTAGGGAGCAATGCAACAAGCTGTCCTCTTATAAAAGATACAATTAAATTAACTGTATTTGCAGACTGCTTGGCAGAGTGTTGTAAACTTGCAGGGATACATGGATTATTATATTCCAATTTACTATTTATTCTCCTTAATGTAAAAATTAGTGGTCCTAATTAATGCTGGGACATACTGAGGAAGGCAGAGTTTGGGCAGGATGTGATATTCACTTCTGGATGGCACTTTAGACTGCCTTTCCAAGTCTCTATGGTATTTACCATACAGAACAGGGGAAATTCCTAGAGCGTCAACTGTGTTCAAGTCATTTTTTTCTCCTGCTCCTCAATTCCTGGGGAGGCTGGAAAAAGGGGTCTGGGGTGGATAATTCTCCATCTGGGACAGGTAAATGGGAGGCCTAATAAGAATTGGGCTCCCTGGATGTTTGGAAATGGCATTTTGATTTCTGGTTTACTTATGCTGTGAAGCAAGCGTTTTATTCATTAGAAGTCAACATACCAAAGTAGCAGTGTTACTATTTTCAGTTGAACTGTGAGTAACCATTAACAAAGAAGATAACAACATGCATCCAGTTACAGCATACAGAAAGAATTTATAACCTGCTCTGGCCTGAGACTATGAAAGGTTTGGGACGAATATTATGCTTGTGTTCAAAGTAGCCCAAGTCCTGCAAAAAAAGGAAAGGATTACAAAAGATGATCTTCAACAAACCACTGTTTGTTCTCAGGTAATGTTTGTTCTCAGGTAAGATTAGTTAACACTCATATTGCAAATTATTGAATTGTTATGTAGTAGTAATAGTGGTAGTGGTAACACATTGCAGTTACTGTGAGGAAAAAAAATTAACAGTGGCACAATCCAGCCCAAGTAAAGCACTTTTTAGGCTGCAAGCCTAAACCCACTTACTAGAGTGTTAGTAAACATGTTTAAGGCCAGGCTGCACACCTTTTCCATTGATATCCATAGGATTTGCAATCTGGTTCTAGACATGTTTACCAGAAGCAAACCCAATCGATCTTCCAGATTTCAATCCTAAATGTGAATACCCAGGATTTAAGCCCTAAGTGCTTAAATCTGGCCAAATCATGCCCAATATTTCTTGAAAGAGGACTGTGTGCACGATCTCAGCCAACCTTCTGTAAAGGAAATATTTGTAAATTGGTCCTGCCTACATGAACCTTGACTTGTGAAGTCAATATTTTGAACAGCATTTCTGAATGTTTTGGGCATCATGGAAGAAAAAAAAAAAGAACAGCAAGAGCTGGACTCAAGAGCATGAAACCAAATTTTGCAACAGAAGACCATCTTACAACACAGTACTTACTGGTCAGGAGAGTTAGGAATTAAGCCCCGCAGCTGTCCATGAAGAGCATCTTGTATATTTCCAGATGAATACAGCCCAATGGGAGAGTTATAGGAAGAACTCACTACCTGTCTTTTGTCATCAAGGTTTGCTGCTGCAACAAAAGGCTGGGCCTTTCTGTTGTGAGCTGTCCCAATAGGCTTGAACTCCTGTGCATAACAAGCAGACAAAATACACAAAGCTACAATGCACACTGAAGCCAGTAATGAGCAAAACTGCCACGCCACTGATTATTAATGAAATGCGTCTCACTGCAAAAAGTGGCAAAGGCTTTGATTTAGTAGGCCGCTGAAGCAAGCATCCTGTGCTTCCCCATTAAATTTTTACCAGTTCTATGAAGCAGAAAGGAGGAAGTATGCTTATGGAAAAGAATAATGTCATTGACTATAATAGGAGCAGTCAGAATGTGATCAGAACTTGATATTAAGAAGGAAGTGTAGTTATTGCTAAAACCCAATAGCTGTGTATGATATCTTCTGTTTTCTCCTGGTATGATCTTGTAATCCAATAATATGTCTTGCCATTACACTGAGGATTTTCTCGCAACAACACTAAATACTTTGTGATGGGAAGGAGGAGTCAAAAAGCCTCATGTTTTCACACGTATCACACTTCCTCAATAACATCTAATTCCAGTCTTTCTGCTAGACTTCTATTATGATTGCCATCCTATGTACACTTACTTGGGAGCAAGTCCCACTGAACTCAGTGAAATGCACTCCTAAGTGAGCCTATTTAGGATCAATGGTAAAAATAATTTTTCCAAATATGATAACTGAAAGTTTAATTCATTGTATATCAGTTATATCATCCGTTATGTATTAAAAATCAGAAATATTTCTATGAACTACCTTGAAACCAAGAAATATATGGAGGCCCAGTTTGCCTGCTGAATACACTTCTAAAAAACGGTTTTGTCAGAAGAATCTAAGCAACATAAAAATGAAAAAGGTTTAACACAAAGGCAAATCTAGGACATTTGCAATGTAGCGTTGTCTCTCTGTAGAGAAAATGCAGCACAGTTTGCCAGTCCACATTGGTTTGGTTCACAAGGGTAGACACAAGAAAGCACAGCAGAGGCACAAAAACCCATACTGGGCACATCATTCAGTATCCTAATTGTTATTTATGTATAAGGAATCTTGTTTTTGGATCCTATGGCTGAAGAAATTGGATGGAAAGTATGTGAGCATGACAGCAGGATGCACTGCCTGACAGCATTTTAAAAACCAGATGAGAACTGAGCAGGATTTTCAGTGATGAAGACTGGGGTTTCAACCTTCTCCATAACTTATTGTTTGTTCCCATGACTAGCTAAAGGGGAATAAATTACTTGATGTAAGAACTTTATGTGTCCTTTTGTTTACTTTGCATACTTTATATACTGCAGTTTTAAGCTTTTTACAGAATTTTGTACATGCACATAGTTACAGCTAAAACTATAATTTGGAGGATATGGGTTAATCAGTACTATGTAGATATGCTAGGATAGGATCCTTCCATGAGCAATGGAATTAAACAGGACTAGGAATTAACTAAATAATAACTAGGATTCTTCAGGAGAGATTTACATAGTTACGAAAAAATTGTGGCACAGATTGTTCAGATGTGCTCCACTTAAAAAGATCTTTTTTTTTTTTTAACAAATTAGATGTCCTTGTATGTGGAAAACTAGAAGGCCAGGAAAGGGACTCTATCCTAATGTATTAGTTTTGTATGAATCAGCAGAGCATTTAAATTGGCAGTTCTACTGCCTACAAACCGAAATGGTGCTAATTCAGAAAAAAAGGGGTTGGACACCCTTCCTAACTATGAGGATCAACTCTGACTATTTAAGACTATTGTGCTGAATTAAAGAAAAGTTCAGGCTTTTCATGACTAATAATCAACCTCCTAATACTACCAAGTGGTATCACAAAAGCAACGCTACACTGCTGTCAATGGGACTTGTGTTTAGGACAGACACTGTTTGAAGTCAGGATCCGAGTCAAGTTAACCTCATAAAATCATGTTCTATTTCAGTTACATTTTCAAAGTTAACTTCATCCAGTTTTAGAAGTTATATGGAATGAGGAATTGGAGAAAGAGTATATGATGACTTATTGCAAGATGACTTATTGTCTTCATTGCTGCAATGAGTTTTAATTAATTTTAGCTTATCTGAATATCACTAAGTGCACAGAACAGAAGTGGCAAAGCAAACAGCAGCAGAAAAAAAACTATATAGTCCAGCTCTTGTGTTTTTGTATCCTGGTACAATGGAAAGCCTTGCAATCAATTTAGGTCACACTTGGACACAGGAAGCTGCCTTATACTGAATCACACCATTGGCCCATCAAGGTCCATTGTCTACTCAGACTGGCAGCAGCTCTCCAAGGTCCCAGGGTGAGGTGTTACCTGGTACTTTTACACTGGAGGGGCCAGGGTTTGAACCTGGGACCATTCTGCATGTCAAGCAGAGGCTCTACCACTGAGCCATGGCCCCTCCCCTAGGTTCAACTAAGCCAATGGCAAATATCTTTGGTCCTTTACAAACATCAAAAGAACATTTTCAAGGAATTAAAGACTGGACTGCCACACAATTTTTTAAAGGTTAAGACGTTTGTTTTGAAAATACTGTTTTTACTTGCAAAATATCATTGTGCCTCTGGTATACATCACTGTTTTACCCCAAATGAGTTTGTCTGGGCTAACTACTGGACTTCAGTGTAACCAGAATATCTAACTGTCTTACACTCTATCAATAAATACCCATTGAAAGAGTGAGAGATGCATCCTGTAATGACACAAACTATTTTACCTTGGCCCAACAAAGTTATATATGCTGATGCAAACAACTTCCACATAAACATCCTCTCCTAGACTGGCCAGTAAAGGCATTAAATCAGATGTACCGGAATAAGGAGGCAGTTTCTTTGCATACTGTATTTCTTTAAATGAAACACATAAATTCAGGGTTGCATTTAAACATATACCATCCAATTGAACTGCAAATTATTTTAAACTGTGATCACAGCTAGACCACAGCATCCAACTTTACCCTGAAAAGGTTAAAGCAGGACTCCCCAGGGTGTTGCCTTTAGGCACCACAGCACCCAACAATAATCCCTGGCTCCTGACAGGCTTTTCAGAAAGTAGGTGGGGCTGCTGTAAGGCAGGGTTTATAATTTGCAGCCATCATTCAAATGAAAAGGCTTTTAATGGCCACAACAGCAGGTTTTGAAGAATCCGGAGGACTGGACAGTTAAGTATTCCCTCTTCAGGCTTTCCTTCTTTTTATCTATCATCTTTCTTCCATCCTCCCCATTGGCTTTCTTCATTTATTTATTATTCCTGTTCTGTGGTTTGTTGGCAGCAAGGAAGGAGGTATTTGGCATGGTTCCAACTCCTGTGGTAGCCATTTTGGGTTTGGAACTCATTACATCCTCCAAAAATTCCAAACGTGCCCCCAGGATCAAAAAGCTTGAGGACCCATGGGTTAAAGCATGGGAAAGATTAGTCTGCATTAACCAAGTGAACCCTAGAGGATGCCCTGCCTACACGGGACTCCAAAGATCTTTGTGCATGTTTCTGTCCATTACACATTTAGATTAGAGTGCTGGTGCTGTGTAGTGGTTAGAGTTCTGGACTAGGAAGCAGCGAGACCTAGGTTCAAATTCCCTCTCAGCCAAGAAGCTAACTGGGTGATGTTGGGCCCTATGACCCTCTCTCAGTCTAATCTACTTCACAGGGTTGTTGTGAGTACTATTTTGTAGGAGAACCCAGCCCACTGCCCTGCATGTAGAATTGAAGTGTGGCAGATATTTATCCTGCTCTTTGACTAAGAAGACACAGGCAGATACGTGGCCCTCTCCTCCTCCATTTTATTCCTACTCCACCCTTTGAGGAATTTTAGGCTGACTAAATGTATAGCCCAAAATTTAAATGGAAAATTGAACCCGAGTCATATTCAGACACTTCTGTATCACACTCTGTCTTCTGCTTGTGCCCAATCATATTCATGCACAAGAGATCTTTCACCCATCTTCACTTTTGACTGCATTTTCTCACACTGCAGGTGAAGCTGTTCCCAAGAGTCCTCCTGAATTTCCAGATCAGCTTTTCAGGGATACCAGGACAGTAGTGAGATGGGATCTGAGCAGCCCCAGTATGTCCTACAGATATCTTGTATGCTGACCTGAATCTTGCTCATTGGGTTGGATACTATGGCCCTGTCCATACGAGGCGGTTTGGGCCGGGAGGGGGACGGAACGGGGGCGGAGCAAACGGGCGCGATCCCACGGCAACATCTGGGAATCGGTGCCTGCCCGTCCCTGTTCCGTCCCAAACGGCGATACCGCGCTGTAAAAAAGAACCACCTACCTAGGTGGTTGTATCCCTTCCAGCGCTGCAAGCCGGGCCGTGGGATTGGGCGGCGCGTCCTTGCGCCACCGCATCCCGGCCCCCGGCCGTACTGCGCATGCTTGAGCATGCACAGTTCGGCAGCCTCCCCCTCCCATCGGACTTTCCTCCCTGGCATCTGATCGTGCTGGGGAGCGATGCGCCGCGGCTGAGGGGATCCGTGGGATCCCGCCGCGGCGTCTCAAGTTCGGTGCGGCTCTGCTTAGCCGCGTTTCAGCCGTCCCGTGTGGCAGCAGCCAAAGACTGTCTTCCACCAAGTCTTGTCTTCTTTCAACAGAAAAAGACTTGCTTCACCAGAGAAAGATTGTTCTCCATAAGAGAAAGTCTGTCTTGTGAAAGAAAACTTAGCAGAAGAAAATTATAGGATCCACATGGAGCTCCCCACCCCCCACCCCCGCTTTCATACTATGAGTCCTTTCATACTATGAGTCCTAGGATCTTTCATACTTTGAGTCCTAGGATCCAACTCATGGTATTTTTTTATGTTTCCTAAATAGAAGATGGTTGGCTTTCATACTTTCATACTATGAGTCCTAGGATCTTTTATACTATGAGTCCTAGGATCCAACTTTCATACTATGAGTCCTAGGATCCAACTCATGGTATTTTTTTATGTTTCCTAAATAGAAGATGGTTGGCTTTCCATATAAATAAGAATATAGGAAAAGATGCCATTAATTACATCAGAAAACATATGCCATACTATATGTTAAAACTACAAGAAAACCCATAGGTTAAATAGGTTAGGTAGATTTAATTTTGAAGAGAACATAAATCAGGGATCCAGTAACTTTGAGTAAGTCTAAGGGAAAAGCACAGGGAAAAGAAGGTTAGAGCATTTCAGTCTATTAAAAGTCTAAAACAGAAATATGTAACAAAAGCAGCATGCAAGATCTCTTCTGGAGAGAAGTATTTTCTCTACAGATAAATTAAATTACAATCAAATGTTCAATATTTGTTGTGCTATAACAAAACAATATGTTGTGCTATAACAAAACAATATTAAGCTACCATGGTATATGCTAATTCAATAATGAAAGAAAATCTACCAAGTCTACTTCTAAAGACATACACTGAAGCCAATGACCACCATATCTCATGGAAGCATTATATTATTGCCAAAGCATATATTGGCCCACGTTACTAAGTTCCTACATAAAAAGCATTTTAATGTAGAAAGTGCACAATTTCCACATGTATGTCATAGTATAAAAAAATTCTAAGTAGAATTATGCCCTTCTAAGTCAATTGAAGTCAATGAGTTTAGAAGAATCTATCTCTGCTTAGGACTGAACCATCTTCTTATTCTTGGATTTGCGATACAGAGATAATAATTGTGCAAGAAAAAAAGGGAAGAGCTACACCAAATTCCCAACACATCAAAATGAGATGAATTTCAAAATCCCTTAATTTTTATTGGAAGCATTGATATGCCACCTTTCTGCCTGAGAATAGGCCTCCAAGATGGCTTACAATCATGCAAAATACAGTATGAATGTGTATCTATATATTATAAAGACATGAAGTTACTAGTGGTCCAATGTTGTGTGTCTTCTCAACTATCTTGTTCCAGCTACTGCTGTTCAGCTCCTCCCTTGAAGCATGCCAGCCACCTCCAGATGTTTGGGTCCCAAAGGTGCGAGGCCTCTTTACCACAGAAGATGGAAAGTGAACAGCTCCCAGGTTATACATAGAAATGCTTCAGAAATTTTGTTGTGCCTGATCTGCTTTAAGTATAAGGTATTCTTTTGTTCTTTTTGTGTCTTCTGTATAATTTTTTTTTTGGGGGGGGGGTTGATTAATTGTGGTCTATCCTACAGGTCTGCTAGAAATGCTTGGAACCTTTAAGAATCAGCTCTATATATTCTAACCACTATTATTATTATACTTGTGTAGGATTGTTACATACTGTAGGTTGTTCTAGGGTAATAATCCTATTTCAGCGACAAAAATGACTTCCATGTAGGAATTTATTTACTTATGCCTAAGGAGCTTCAGAACTGTTGGTAAAACAATCCTCTAGCAAATGAAACACTTCCTAAACCTGTCCATCAGGCAAGCATATAAATTCTAGAAAACTTATTTAAGACATGCACCAAATGCAATTCTTATGTTTTTTCTTTGAAATCTCCTCCTATGATGTACCACATATTGCTGTGTTCCAAATGTGGTTTGCCATGCAATACCTGGAGGGGGGGGGGTAACCAAGCCAAGTGTGCCCACTACCTATGACCCGATATGGCTCTCCTGATGAACAAACCTATCACACTATCCATTCAAATAACAACCCAGGAGTGTGGTCCCCAAAAGAACCCAGTTGTCCAAACAAGTCTTGGAAATGGGGCTTTTACATTTAGGTAATGATCCCTGATGGGGTTAGGGAACAGAAATTCCCTTTTTTAATTAAAAAAGGCACCAAGAGTTAAAAGGCTACTATGTTGCAGCAGGCTGCAGGTATATTCTCTCTCTCAACCTTTCCTCTCTCCAGCCTGAATTTTTCTGGTCCTTCTATGCTGTAATCATTATCAGGGATTACATCACCACCCAAAACTTAGCCAGTGCAAAGCTATCCCCTGGATTTGAAAGGAACATTTGAAGCTGGTGAGCAAACTTTATTGAGAGGGAATGTGTTAATGTTTAATTCACTACCAGTGTAATACAGCATTAGGACACTGGTGGAATTTTGTGTCATGGGTGTAAAATGCTAGGGGAGGGAGGAATCACATAATCCTGAAGTCCACTTACAATTACTTAACCTTGATTAAAAATGTTACATCACCAGTGGTAGGTTGGCATTAGTCTAAGAGGAGTGCGCTATTTGAGTTGTGGCAAGGGAAGGAGCAGAAAGTCTCTGCCAGACTGAGGAAGACAAGGTGCCTTAGAACTGTGACATTTTTGGGAAAAAGGACAGAGAGAACAAATGGGTAAATTCAGTAAGTTTGTTTTAATTAGGGGTATGTTGGGGAATATGGCCATACAAGGGGGGGACCCGCGATACTCGCAGGGGGGAGGGAGTCTCTCTCTTTCCCCCCTTCTCTCTCTTCCCCCCAGTCTCTCTCTC